CCGGCAAAAAGTTTAAAGAATTTCATTTAATGCCAAGCTGCGGCCAACTGAACCGCATAGTAAAATAATAACATAGAGAAAACATGCTATAAACATTTTTATAGCACGGCCATACAGCCGCAGAGCATAAGAGTGCGCTCCTGCTCTTGCTCTTGCTCTTGCTCGTGTGTATATGATGTAGCCAATGCGTATTTTTGTTTAAGTAAGTGTTACTAAATGCACTTTTAAATGTTCAAACATGAACTCTGCAGCAGCAGCACCACTGAGTGGTGGCATGCCAAAATGATTTATGGCCAAAGTACGCAGGCGCACACGGCCATGGCCAGAGCCGGAGCCGGAGCCGGAGCTGCTGCCGGTGCCAAAGCCGATCACAGTTGTCCAACAGACAAGGCAGGTCCGGGTGCCCCCATTTGGCTCTCTCTCCGTCTGCTGTGCAGTTCAGCTGGCATTCAGTGAGTTTGTACTACAACTAATAAACTAATCTGCAAGTGCATAAAATTAGGGCCACCGCCAGAGATTTCTCTTGCCTGGCTGCTGTTGCCGGCGACTAATACGCCATAAAACCAGCGACATTAAACGCCGCAACAGCAGCAGCAGCAGCAGCAGCATCTCTGTGAGTGACACATTTACGACTGGGCAGAGCGGCCTCTGTCTGTCGTGTGGTACGAAGGCAGCCGCAATTAAAATTAGTTTTGCCCCTTAATCTCTTTATATGCAGCAGCAACAGCAACAGCAACTGTTGACGCGATTTGCACAGCCCAATTGCATGGATCGTTTTGCACTTTTTGCACGCAGCATTTCCGTCTTGATTTACATGTTCTCCAAAAAATCTCTTGTGGAATGCGCTGAGAGGCAGACGGACAGACAGACAGACAGACAGCAGCTACATATATGCTGACTCATGCGTTGCCATGCGAAATCTTGCATCTATATACTCTCTTATACACATATGTATATTCTCTTAATCTAGAGATTGGCATAACTCGAGGAGGACTTTATATATACACTTGTTGCCCCAGCGCAATAACAAGATGATGATCGTGATGATGTTGATGATGATCATGCCATGATCGCCGTCAAGGTTGTCTTGATGGCATTTGCCTTTGCCTTGGGGCTATGACTCGGACTGCCCAGATCTGAATGCATTTAACTAACCCACGAGCACGACGATGACTTTATTGTTGCTGTTGTTGTTGCTGCTGTTGCTGCTGTTGTTGCTGTTGCTGTTGCCGCCGTCTTTTGCACACCCAAAGGCTGGCCATTTAGAGAGTGCAAAAATGTCATATGCATCATTAAATCGTTCTGCTTCATATTGTAGTCGCGTTGAGCATCGGTCGTTGGTCGTTTGCTCGTCGCCTTTTGCTACCCTGCCTTCCCCTCCCGTCTCCGCCTTAACCCGTTCGTTGTTGGCCGTGCCCATCCTGCAGCAACATGCAAAATCAAAATGCGTGCGAGAGAAAAGTATGGCAACGCTGTCCAATAAAATGACTAAACAACTTGGTCCGCTCTGAGCAGTGGATGTCGACTTCGACTTGCAAGTGAGCAAACAAATGCTCATAAATTGCTTTGGCTGCAGCTAAATTTGCTGTGATTTATTCTAAATAAAAGAAAATTATTCAATTGTTGTCATTGTTTTGGGTCAAGGTGATCGCAGAGAGGCATTCACACACACACACACACATGCAGAGAGGCATGTTGCAGCAACATTGTTGCCGGGCAACGTTTTGTTTACTTACCAGTGAATCGACTTCGGGATCTGCGGTATAGTAGGGTTTCTGTGATCTTATCTGAAATGAGAGGCAGAGCGCAAGAGAGAGAAAGAGAGAGATGGCATGAGTATAAGAGAGAAACATTATGTATACTAGCTTCAAATCGTTGCAAATATGCATAAGCAGTGGCAGCTGTTG